ACATATATATATATACAGTGAAACCTTGGGGTTAAAAAAGTTGGATCGCCTGAGATGAACAATATGCCGTATCGCCTCGTCTTCTTCGTCGTGTATACACGGCGCCGGCGTTAGCTGTTCGCTTGTTTCAGCGCGTCGCGGCGGAGACAAGGCGGCGGCGGCGGCGGCTCGTCACGCGGAGGAGGAGAGGACTTGTAAGGAGCATTCGTTTCTGACAGACGTGTCGGACGTACGTAAGATGGAGCAAGGCTTGCTCTCTCTACTCAACGATTTCCACTCCGGCAGGATGCAGGCATTCGGTACGACGACGGGGACGATGATGATGATGATGATGGTGATGATGATGATGATGATGATGATGATGATGATGATGATGATGATGATGATGATGATGATGAGGATGATGATGATGATGATGATGATGGTGATGATGATGATGATGATGATGATGATGATGATGATGATGATGATGATGGTGATGATGATGATGATGATGATGGTGATGGTGATGATGACGATGGTGATGGTGATGATGGTGTTGATGGTGATGATGGTGATGATGATGATGATGATGATGATGACTATGATGGCAATGATAAAACGATGATGGTGATAATGACGATGTAGGATGATAGCAAGAGCATTCGTTGATGAAGGTCGTGACCTCCCACTGACCCCGTGACTTCCCACTGACCCCGTGACCTCCCGCTGACCTCGTGACCTTTCGTTACAGGTGAGGATTGTTCGTTTGAGAAGATGGATCAGGTGAGAGAGCAGCAGGAGCGACTCGCTAAGCTTCACTTCGACCTTGACACCGAACTCGAGACACTGGGGTGAGTGTCGCCACCAGGGGGCATCACACGCGCTCGTTAGCTCGTTAGCTCGTTAGGATGACTATTAGCGTGTCTCGTCTCTCTCTCATCTCTACGTATATATATCTTATATATCGAATACTATGTATCTACTCGTGTTTACTTCTAGAAAGAATCCTGATATACCACGTATATTTGTTTACCACGTATAGTTATGTTGTTTTATTCAATTTATTTTATTATTTATATTTGTTTATGTATATTTCACGTTTATATCTTGACGTATATATATATATATGTAGATCTAGCACTGGTGACGTGTTGACTCTATTGACTCGCAGTGATACGTTCTTGTGTTTTACAGGATGGAAACGCCGAAGGCTCGATCGGTCGCCAACGAGAATCTGACGAAACTCGTCACGGATGTAAGTGTCGCTACCTAGCTGCCACTTGTTCTCGGGATTAGCCAGGGGGCGCTACCAGTAACACCTAGTAAGGAACGTTGTTTTTTCTCCCATTAAAATTTTTTGTTTTTGTTTCAGTTACAGGAACTGAGTCATTCCATGTATCCTTTACTATGCATCGCAGATGGCGCCACGTGCTTGTCTCCGATACTTGCTGCTACATGATTTGAGCGAATTGATTTCGATCGCATCGCTACGCTCCAGTATTATTCTCACTTCTAACGGTAATGTTTATCGTACATTAAGCTTACCTATTACAACGTAAGACTGTAGCAGGGAAAAAATTTCAATTTGTTTTTCGGGGGCTACTTTTCAAGCTCGCGTGCATGAAAATTGCACTTTAAAATTTGGTTTGGATTGAACTATGCAAATTTACGAGGGCTCTTTTTGGCATTTCGGGGGCTAAATCGCCCCGAGCCCCCATGTATTTTTTTCACTGGACTGTAGTGTTTTAACGTATGTGCAGGTTCTTGTCCTGTTGTTCCCACGCGTGTAAGTTAACCTGTGTAGTTAATAGCTGCCTGGCGCAGAAGTGAAAACACGAAAAACTTGGTCGAGAACTTATCGTCTGCGGATTGCGACGATGCCTCCACCAGGGGGCGCTACGTGTTCGTCTCCTTGACGACGGCTGCAGACAGGGCTTGCACTCTAAGGAGCCGGTGACGGCAGCGGCGGCGGCGGCGGCAGCGGTGACGATACAACATCATCCGCAGGACGAAGCGAGGAGCGAGCGGAAGCACCATCGTCATCATCACGGTCATCGCAGCAGCCACAGGACGAAGGAAGCCAAATAGAGATGCGGAGGGAGACAGAGAGAGAGAGAGAGAGAGAGAGAGAGAGAGAGAGAGAGAGAGAGAGAGAGAGAGAGAGAGAGAGAGAGAGAG